AACTGAAGTAGGAGTCCAAGACATGCACCCACAAACTATTCTGTCTTATTTCATAGACCCTTCCAAGCTAAAGGTTGCAACAATTTGGAAGATCAGCGAATTTCGTTCTCTTCTAGGTCCAATTCAAGGTGCTAGTTTTGAAGTTTAAAGCCCTTCATGGCATGAGGCCAGATTATCTGAGGGACCACCTATCTCTGATTACATTTGAAAAATCCCAGCAGAAAAGGTACACTGCAGGTCCTGTCCGCCCTGAAGCCACAATTGGCAGAAGCCAAGAGATGGGCCTTCTCTGCCATGGTGCTCAGCTTATGGAACCTTATTCCCCCTCACCTCACCCTCCCTGACATGAGGCAGGTTCCATCCATGTTAATTCTCCAGAAGCCACTCAAAATTTAATTTGGCCATGAGGCCTCATGGCCTCAAGATACCTGGTCATTTGTTGAAATGGCTCCATTGTTGCTGTCCTCTCTTTGCATTTTAATCACAAATTTAATTTTTAGACTAGTCTTATATTAGTTTATTCCACCAGAGTAACATTTTGTGAGATAGATGATTATATAAATATGATAAATAAATAAATATATATATATATACAAGTTCCCCTTTCATCACTCGAAAGGGCTAAAAAGCCTCTAGTCCTATTCAGATCCAATGTTCAATGTGATTCACATCTAGTGGCAGCAAAGCAAAAATCCTCTTTTGGTTTTTGCATTGCAAAATAACTTATATAGTTTTACACCAAGGACGCAGACAATTCTATGTAAACTAAGGAAGTTGAATAAATGTTCGCAAACATTTTTTTAGTTTTGCATCATTTAGTATGCTAACAGTATAAGGAGCCAGGAGAAGCCAGAAACTTTTGTATGCCAAGCATAAAAAGCTCATATCTTAACAAGTAGACCTTTTTCCCCCCGGGTTTTCCTTTGATAGGACAGACGCTAACCTAAACGGTGTGCCATTTGAAATCAAACAGAAATGTTGACATCTCCATCCCCCACAGTTTAAGAAGATTGTACCCAAGGACAGCCAAGTTATAATGACACCAGAGGCTAACCATCCCACAAGTATTTTTTTTTTCTATGATGCTGGCAATCAAAGGCAAGAGCACATTAAATTCTAATTTGCTGGCCTTTCGTGACACCTAACACCAGTTTTGCCGAAGTACAGGGCTGCCAGGAATACATTCTAGAGATTTCTTGCATACTTTCCAGTCTATCTTTCGAGCCACGCTGGTTAGAAATCTCCCGTTTTTTTAAAGAAAAGCAAATGGATTGCGGGAAACATTGCCACAGAGTGCCAGCCTCCCATCCCATTTCCGGGGAGAAACCAAAACCAACCACTGCAATGTGCCCTTCAGGTTACCATACTCAATCCCTAAATTAGGCCAGCAGAGCATCAATGATGAAAGAGCTACAAAAGTATGCATGATCTGACCCTCTGGTGCTCCTTTTTTTTTTTTTTTTTTTTGCATGTGTGCACAGAACACCCCTCATATGAAGCCCAGCCATGTGCTGAACCAAACTTTCCTGGCTTCTGCAGCCGGGTGGAAAAAATGCAAACCGCTGACCCTTTCCACTGGCTCTCCAGGCTGCTGCAGAATTCCGAGAACTGCTCATCCATCTAAACAGAAAGCAAACATTTCAAACAGCTGGATCAGGAAGCAGTTTGACACCAGGGGCGAGAGCCACCTTGACAAGCATCTTCTCTCCTTGGCGGAAGAACAATTGCAGAGTTAAAGCTCTTTGCCCACATTTCGAATCGCATGATTTTCATCACAGTTTAGTAAGGGTTTACGGAAAGGTTTTCAGTTGCTTTTGCAAATTAAAATATAAATTCTCCTCTAAGAGCAGAGCCAAACAAACGACAATCTGGACTGGAGGAGTGACAACTGAATGAGACATTGAATGTTATTTGCCATCTGATGTGGCTACTGATATTGAAATAAGATCCTGGCACGGTTAGGGTTTTTTCCTTCAAAGTTTGCACAATTATCGACTCTTCTTCAGAAGGGACATTTCTTCACCTCTTCCAGACAGTGACAATATTTAATGGCTGGTAATAGCTAGCCATAACTATGTCACTTTCTTAACTTTACCACACTGCCTTGATGAGGGAGCCATGGTTAAGTTTCATGTTTCAACAGCACAGTCACTGGCACCAGCATTAGCAAAGTGTCTAAAGCGTCTCGTTCTCCCCTGGATTTTCCCAGCTGTGCCCTCCACAAATGCTGAGCCCACAAGCCCCAGAATTCTCATCATATACCCAAAAGGTTCCAAGTTAGGGAAGGCTGCAGCACGGATGGAATGCCAAGACTTCACCGGTGTCTGTGGCCTGCTAGGAGTTTCACAATTTCAACTTGGAAGAATGCATTTTAACATATGTAGATAAAAGCCTTGTCTAGAATGTAACCTCATTTTCTTCACTCTTTCTAGAGTCAGCAAAGACTAATGGAGTAAAATCTGCAGGGGGTTCTTTACCGACCCACCCCTGGTTTTCTTTAATAAGGAGAAATAAGGTGTTGTCCTTAGGTTCATTTTTCATGTTTTGCATAATAGTTTTGCTCCCTGTCTAAATTGAATGGCCACAGAGCTGCTTAGAGTCACTCTGGGGATGAAAATAAAGCAAGCACAGAAAGAGTTGATCCCCCAAATGTGATTTAAATCTCCCCTGTGATTTTATTGGTGGGCTAAAACTAGGCAGCTGCATGATATCTCACCCAGAATCAATCCAGATAGGATTAGAGCAGGGGTGTCAAACTCAAGACCCGCGGGCCGGATTCAGTCCGTGAGTCACCTTGGAAACAGTGAAGGACCGGCTTGTGGTGCCTGCCAGTGGAAACGGAGCCTGGGGGAGCAGCAGCAGCCACAAGGAGGAGGTAAGCGCAGCCAGGCACCCTCTCAGGGAAGCAGGGCTGGGCTGTGGGGTCCCAGTGCCCTGGGAGCTTGAGGGCTAGGCTGGGCGCTTGCCCTCTGCTGCCTAGGGCTATGGACACTCTGTGCTGCTGTCCAGGGGTCCTCTGTGTGGCTTGAGAGGGACAGCGAGGCTCTTCTGGAGGACAAGGGTTGGGCGCTCTCTCTGGCCTCGCCTTCCTCAGTTGGAGGCAATGGAAACCCCCCCCCCCAGCCCTGCCTGGGCCACCACAGGTGTCCCTGACACAAGTGATGTCGAGCTGGCCACGCCTGTCGAGGCCATACCCACCCTGGCCACACCCACCCGAAGTCAAACAGAACCATGATGCAGCCCTCAATGAAATTGAATTTAACATCCCTGGATTAGAGTGATGGAGCAGTGTTCCTTCGGCTGCACAGAAAAGAATAAGGTTAGGATGAACTTGCAAAATTTTTATGGTCAGCCCCACAGCAGGCTAACAGCATTGTTGTAATAGAGATAACTTGCAAAAGCTTTTTCTTCTTTCAGAAAGCATTTTAATCCCCTTTCAATGACAAGCTTTCTATTCAGACGTCAAAAGCCAGGCAAGGCAGAATATTTGAGCCAGTCTTCCCAGCCCCAATCTCTGGTGCTACAAAATCCAATCCCAGGAAAACACACTTGCTCTATCTGTGTCAGTGTGCCAAGCATATACAGTTTCTTAAATTGGAGAGGGGATTAAGTATTCCAAGAGTCTTTTTTTTTTTTTGTTAATAAAAGTTTCTAGCCCCTATTGTTTTGAAAGTAATATTTCAAAGCATACATCATGTCAGCCATGGAGCTGCTGATGGTTGAAGAAGTTCAACTACATTGCCCTTTATGCTTTGTTCCCAATTACTAGAATCAGAACTGTATTGTCAATTGACAACTGTATTGACTTGGTGTTTTTTTTCAGGAAAGAAAATATTCTAATGAAGTGTCCAGATTGAGTTTTATTAACATTTCCCCTCCCCTCCCCACAAAAAACACAAAGGTCCCAGTGAATTGAAAAACGGTCTAATAAGCAAAACTGCGATGCACACAATAAGCTGATGTTTGGGAGAAAACAGATTTCTCTGTGTTTCTTTTCCAGTGAAAAATAAAGAGAGATTTTCTTTTGCAATATAACTTTTACTTTAACAGGACAAGGGCCTGCAAGAAAAAAAAAATCATGCTAACCCCAGCTAATTCTGGCAGGGTTCATCTGCACAAAGCAGACCAGCATAAAACCTGGATAGGGCAGGAGCAGCTCAAAAACAACTGTGGTACCCATGACAACAGAACAACCAACTAAATGAAAAGTAAGGCTAGAGTGAACATCTAATAGAGAAGGAAAGTGCCATGGGGGGCTCAGTGATAATGCAAAATGACTGGGATATTATATTACTATGTGGTAAGGATTTGGGATTCTGGTGTGAATCTTGGGGGGGGGGGGGGGTAAATTTTTCCCATTGACATTACAATTAGCTTAGGCTTGACTCCTAGTGTCTGTACAGTACTGAGTCTAAACAGCCATACAGAAATGGTTTCTCACTGTGTTCTTTAAGGACTGTAGCCAGTCAAGATCACAATTCTAGATTCCATGGTCAGTATTCATCCTCCCACTGAAGCTGCTTAGCTCCTGCAAGAGCTGGCAAATTCTGCCACCTTCCATCTGGGTCATCTTAAGTGTATGCTTTGTCTGTTGGTCATACCAGAAGTCTAATTTGAAGTTTGGTGATGGATCAGGAAGGGAAGAGAAAATTGCTCACCTTCCAATTCCTAACAGCAGGGTGATTCTGGGAAAGGCGAGGGCTCCAGGCTATTATAATCCAGACATGCAAAATTCCAAGACACCCAGATTTGCAGAAACAGACAATCCCTTCCAAGAGATGTGGGACCAATCCAAGCCCACCTCCCACTCCAGCCGTGTGCTGGAAACCCACACCCAACCTTTGAAGAGCTGCCCTTTAATAAACAAAACATTAAAATTGTCCGAGAAGAATTCAAGTTATGCATTTTATTTTTCCATCAGCCTGGTAGGAGGAGGGAGGAAGGAGAGAGCAGTCATGAAGTTCACATGGTTGAAATGTGCATTGCTAGGTGGAGGACAGAAGGATGGAAGAGGAAAAAAAAAAACTTCTAGCAATTCTGCTTCTGAACATCCTATACAATGTGCAGGTTATGTAGCATCTATATCTTTTGGGCACCAGGGACCAGTTTGGTGGAAGACAATGTTTCCACAGACCAGGTTGAGGGAGAAGAGGAGTGTGCATCCTAGATCCCATCCATGCTCAGTTTACAATAGGCTTTGCTTGCTCGCCACTCACCTCCAGCTGTGTGGCCCAGTTCCTAACAGGCCATGGACCAGGCCATGCTGGTCCATGGCCCAGGGATTGGGGACCACTGCTCTAGATCAGTGCTTCTCAACTTTGGCAACTGTAAGATGTATGGGCTTCAGTTCCCAGAATTCCCATGCTGACCAGGGAATTTTGGGAGTTAAAGTCCATACGTCTTAAAGTTGCCAAGTTTCAGAAACACTATTCTAGATGTTGCTGAATTATAGCTTCCAACAACTCTCTCCAGAAGTCCAATTAGCTGGGATTGTAAAAAGATATGGCCCCAAACATTCAGAAAGGCCAAAGATCTCCACCTCCTGCTTAGGTGACTGCTTCAAACAATGGCAAGAAGGGAGGGTTTTCCCTAAATCACTCCGGCCCTTATGTGAATTATGGCCGTAACTAGCTTCAGGTCAGACTAAACAGGACATGATTTTAATGTTAGCGCTTAAAGCCAAAAAGGGACTTTTTCCTTTCATACCAGTATCTGATTCTGGAACTCCTCCATTAACCCATACCAAACTTCTTTTAGGATATTAAATTTCAGGTTATGTGGCCTTGTGCTGCAACAAAGCCCCATCTTGGAGAGTTTCTACGAAGGATTGGTGTGAGAAGAACTTTTTTCTAGGAACAAATTGCCAAGCTTATCTACCTATCACACTGCCACCTATGCACACTCTCTCATGCTCATTCCCTACTCTCCTTCATACATACACACCAGAGGTGGGTTTCAGCAGGTTCTGACCAATTCTGGAGAACCAGTAGTGGAAATTTTGAGTAGTTCGGAGAACCGGTAAATACCACCTCTGACTGGCCCCACCCCCATCTATTCTCTGCCTCCCGAGTCCCAGCTGATCGGGAGGAAATGGGGATTTTGCAGTAACCTTCCCCTGGATTGGGGAGGGAATGGGGATTTTACAGTATCCTTCCCCTGCCACGCCCACCAAGCCACACCCACAGAACTGGTAGTAAAAAAATTTGAAACCCACCACCGATACACACCATGCAGAGGTCTCATGTCTTTCTCAAAACAAAAGTCATAAGTTAACAGTGGACATGGAAACAGTGGAAATCCTGAAGTATGCGGACTAGGAATTTAGCACACGAGTAAAATTACTTCAGGAGACCAGAAAAAAATTGAAAATAATTCATCACTATTCAAACATACATTGGAAAGGGATGTGCTATAATTGCACAAAAAGAGCTGAATCAGAGGAAGAAATGAAAAAGAGGGGGAAATTTTGAAATCAGGGAAGGAAGTAGAGTGGAGCATTTGCCTTGTCCTGTGGGTTATATAACATACAGAAGCTAGCATGGAACACAGTAAAGATACATGGAAAGGAAGCTGCGACACGCCCCTTGTTTCAGAACTGGGGATAAGAATTACCTTGCTGTAAATCTTAATCTAGTTTTTTTTCCTCTGAAAAGGGCCAAGGCAGATACAGCAAATAAACAGATTCTATCTATTTGAACTAAGAAAGGCATTGCCTGCTTCACTGTGAAATCTGATAAGTAAATTATATATCCCTAATGAACATGGTGGTTTTATTCAAGCTTATCTTAGTTAACTGCAGTGGTAGACATAAAAATGGCTTGGCAAGCCTGTCTCTCCTCTAACCCTTAGCCCAAGCCTGCACCTCCACCACTGCATATTAAGTTACAGGCAGACCCACAACTATGGAAAAGAAAATTCCATCCAAAGAGCTTCTTGATGGAACTTTACTTTAAACTCTCGTTTATAAGGGGAAGTTTCCAGCAGACAAAGACAAGAACATGACGGCCAAGCAAGAAAGAGTCCAAGACAAACAGGTGAACCTCTAAGATAAGCAGATGCAGGCCCTGTGTTTTGTGCTGGTTATATGAGACCAATCCTCAGCCAACAGCAGTTGAAGGAACTTAAACCTGGTAGCATATTCCAGATTTAAGACAAGCAGAGTGGCCAAGAAAAATCTGTCCTTAATATACCCCAAGTCCAATTCCAAGGTAGTCTGAACGAGACAGCAGACCCAATTCCAAGCCAAGAGATAATTTGTTCAATTGATGTGTTGTTGAACTGGTTTTTGGTAACGAAATATGCAAAGCTCTGAGTTGCATGGATTTTAAACCAATTTTCCATAAGCATGGCTCTGATACTCTGAATCTCCATATTAGTGTTAAGGATCAGGGTAAATCAAGCAAGAAACACAAACTGGTAGGTAGAACTTTTTCCACCCAGCAATGCATTTATAAAGTAAGCAATGTTTGCTGAAGACCCAAGAGGAAAAACCTGAAATGCTTTTCATTTCAGAGCCACTGTGGTGTCTAGTGGTCAAGGCACCAGGCTAAAAAGTGGGAGACCACGAGTTCTAATCTTGCCTTAACAATGAAAAGCAGCTGGCTGACTTTGGGCCAGTCACTGTCTCTCAGCCCAGTCTACCTCATAGGGTTGTTGTTGTGAGGAAAATAGGAGAAAGGTCGCTACAGGATTATGGGGCTACAGATGGATCATGGGACTATATGGAAGGATGCTTTTTTGTGCTTTCCCACCACATAAAAACTTCCCTGCAAGGACAGCTGGCTCTTTTGATCAGTTTTTTTTTATACAGGTAGGCATACATCTTCAACCAGAAAATAATCCTGCAGTTATCCTATCTCATTCAGTATGAGGTTACAGAAGCCTCAAATACAACGTAAATCTCTATTTAGCACCATATTTTATTATTATGGATCTTTCTTACTGTACTTGAGTTACTTGGGAAAAAATGACTCATTCTCTTATTAGAAGATAGATAGTTTTGCATAACCATTACCTCACAAATGATCAAAATAGGGTATTCATCTAGTATAAAATGTTTCGGAGGAGGAGTTTAGTTACTAGCTGCTGTTACTAGAATAAGAACTCTAAAATCAAGTGGGCAATCATTTATTTATTTATTTATCAAATTTATATACTGCCCATTTTGTATGGTCTGAGGGCTACATTGGTTCAGTAATTCAGTCTTCATTGGCATCAGAGGGCCTTGTCCAATGATATTACCAGGTAAATGGGACATTTTTGAGAGGGTAGAATGTGTTCTTTTTTAAATCAAAGTGAAATGAAATAAAAAATGAAATGCCAAAATGGAAACAAAACACCCCCACAATTGAATATTTGCCAATGTCAGGGTTAAGATCTATGAATATTTGTGGGCCCAGATGCACTCCAGTGGGTCATAGGCTGCCTACCTGTTTTCAGGCTGGTAGGAAGTTTGTTAAAGGCTTGAAAGTAGATTAGACAAAGTTTTCAATGACCCCACAAGTTCCACGGTCCCTGCTCCTGTAAATCCCAACACCTTCCTATATCTTCGACTATAATTCCTGCCACAGCCAGAATTCTCGTAAATACCAGCTGAATGACTTGGTTCAATTTGCTTTAAAGAAAGTCAACAGATCGGGAGCCCAGCTATAGAGGGTACCACCTAGCCACCATTAGCTGATCTCAAAAAGCTAAGCAAGGCTGGAATTGGTTAGCACTTGAAAGAGAAACCATCAGAGCTCCTGGGACTATAAACCAGATTGGGAAGAGAAGACAAAAAAAAAAAAAAAATCTCAGAAGGCAGCAATGACAAGCCACTTCTGTATTATTTGCCAAGAAAACTACATGGATATATCCAGGAAGTTACCAGGACTCAAAGGAAACTTGACCTTCAAACTTGGCAGAACTTGGTCTTTTTGAACACAGGATGTTGGTTTTTGACTTTCATTAAGCCAGCTCTTCTATCTCCCGCTGGAAGAATAGAAAATGGAATGCTATGTGCTATTATATAGTTTCTCTAGAGGCCACCTGTATTGTCCTGGGAAGCACTGGGCAAGCAGCCTATTGGCTAACCACTTCATTGCTTTCAGCCTAAGACTGAGATAGTCCAGGTACCACAGGATATGTACAGGTGGTCCTCAATTTACAACCCACAAAAAAGCCCCTTAACCATTTATGTTGTTAAGTTAGTTTGGGCCCATTTTATGAACTTCCTTGTTAAGTGAATCATTGCAGTTGTTAATAACATGGTTGTTAAGTGAATCTGGCTTCCCCATTGATTTTGCTTGTCAGAAGGTCACAAAAGCTGATCATATGGCCCCAGGACACTGCAACCATCATAAATATGAACCAGTTGCCAAGTATCTGCATTTTGATCATGTGACCAAGGGGATTCTGCAATGGTCATAAGTGTGAAAAATTGTCGTAAATCACTTTTTTCGGTGCTGTTATAACTTTGAACAATCACTAAATGAACTGTTGTAAATCAAGGACTACCTGTCCCTTGATGATTTCCATTTTATCTCTGATTTTTGTATCAGTTCCCAGGTGACTCTTTCATAGATAAGATATACTTTCCAAAAATATTTTAAAGAACACATTCACGTGTTATATCAAATGCGGGGCTTTAAATTCACTGCAGTCTTTCTTCCAATGTAACCAATTGTCTAACACTTTTTCTTAAAGAACAAAGTGCATCTTTTAACTGCCTGAACTGGCAGTCTCCCTAGCTTCTAGAAAGCATAAACATAGCTGTGAACATCCAGTGCCCAGTATCTGTCTGATAGAAAAAAAAGCTGAATGTTAGTTGCTTCATACATGTATTTTCTCTCTTGGACAATTGCAATATGAGGAGCCTGTAAATAGATTGATTCAGAGGTTAAAGCTGATAAGTGATCCCCAGGATGAGATATTTGCCAGACTCAGAATTATCATTCAGTCCATCATTAAGTCATTGTTAAAATTCTAGAAATATAGGATCCAGGCAATTCACAACTACTATATTTCTCATGTGAATTTCTCTCATGTTCAGGAAATTCCTCCAAAATCTTATTGCTGTTAGTGATCGTATAGATACTACTATAAGAAAGTGGCTGGTACATCAGTTTTAGCACTGACAGATTCTCCCAGTGCCGGGTTTGATATCTGTTAGGCACTTGATGAAAGCCCCATTCCATTTTTTATTTCTTCCTCCTCCTCTTCCTCCTCGTTCTTCTTCTATCATATTGGTTCACTGGGGTACTTTAGTGTTTAAAATTATTGTGGTTTTCCGGATTTAATGCGATGCAGCCTTTACCGTTATCTGTACAATCTCTCTCTTTAGGACAATTGAGGAGGGGGAAGCATAAACTAGAATCACCAGAGAGCATTAAAGCAGAGCATTTACGAAATGTAGTTAACAGCCAGACAGACAGCACAGGAAAAGGCAAACAACAACTCAAAGAGTCTTGGTTGAGGGGAAGAGCTCCACAGAAGCCAATTTTGGCTCAAAGCTTGAACTCCAATCACTCTTTCAAATCTTGCGGAACAGGCTCCCCAGAAAAAGGCCGGAATGTCTCCTTGGCAATTCTTCAAGCCCAGTTTTGCAGATGTTGTCTACTGCAAAACACCAGATGACAGCCTGGTTTGTAGGCAAAAGAGCTGCAATGCTTTCACCCCAGCATGAAGATGGGTCCTTCTCGGGTTACAGCCCGAGAAGCTACTGGAAGCCTAAGGCTTTTAGAGTCAGAGCACATGCCTGGGTCACTGCTGACCCAGAGTACTCCCATAGAAGAGATACAATGACTCACCATCTGAATCTACCCCTTTGTGCTGGGAGTTTCCAAGTGTCAAAACATTTGCACGCAATACAACTGGGAAGGGGAATGACTCACCGAGAGAGATCTTTTTGGTGCCATAACATTTTGACCGTAATATGGGCTCTGCCTCTTCCTCCTTCCTCCATTCCACTTTCCGATGCCAAAAAAATAAGCCCTCACACTAATTGCAAATAAACCACTTCGTTAACTTCATTGGAAGGCAAATCTTGGTATGGTCGCCACTGACTGAACTGCTTATTGTCCTCTCACATAGACAGCCAGATGGGAGTAGATGGAGAACAGAAGGCGTAGAGGGGAAAAAAATGGCAGAAAGACAGCAGACCCTTTTGCAAACACAGTCTGAAGATTCGTGTACCAGAATGTTCTCGTGCATGAGGTGTGCTGCAAGTCGGCTTTGCTGGAAATGCAAGATACAGATTTGATGAACAAATAAATATATAAAGAAACTGTCTTCACTTTAAAAAAAACAGAGAAAGGAACATATAGAATAGAACCACGATGAACTTGCTTTGAAGTTGTTAAGTTCTTACAGGTACTCAGTCCAAAGCACATAGCCCAAATGTAGTGTGAAGTATCCAGACCAGGATGCTGCTATGTCCTTCTGCTGGTTGAAAAGCAACAGATCTCATAGAAACTCAACAGAAATACCACAGAAGGTCTGCAAATCTTCAGCCTCTCCAATTTTGATTACCTTTGAAAATTTCACTTCTCTAGCACTCTGGACAAACTATAATTACCACATTCCTGTTGAAGGCCGATTTCTTTCAATCAGGCCCATCCACCACATGTGTTTTACAATTCTCCTTGTTCTGACTTATGTTGGGCAGGGGGAGGGGAGGAGACTGTAGTGACATTTAAAATTATGTATTACTTAAAAAAAAATACTTGTACAACCTTTAGCACTCTACTCACAAATAAACTCTGGTAGTCCAATGTCACATAAAAGCAGTACGTAACATTACAGTCCAAAGCAATTTTTAGCCTTAACACACCAAAATATTTACAAAGAAATCTCACTGTCGCATAAGCAAAATATACAAGTTAGAGGAACTGCCTTATGCAAAGCAGTTGAGGACAAACATATGAGAAGTGTGGTCCTTTCTCCTTTCTTTTCCTCTAGTTATTGTCTACATTTTCTCATATACATGTTGCAAAAAGGGAGGAAAATTACCGAAACTCATTCCAATATAGTACTAATACTTTTCTCCATTGGGTGCATTATGCTGAGAATTGGGAAGGCTAAAAGTATCCGTGGATGCAAACCTTTGTTGAATTCTATCCCAATGCATTCATGGACAAGCCTCCTATTCCAGCAGTGTGACCCACAATTTCTTATGCCTCTTTCCCTGTAGAAAGATAGGATTCTACTGAGGACACCAACTCCATCTTGGAATGTCATCACATCTGTTAGTCTTCAAATGTGCTGCACTAACTCCCTTAATTCTTCAGGTAGCTCAACCTATAGCCATGACAGTTGAGTTTATGAGAATTGAAACCCAATAGAGTTGGAAGCCACAGGTTGGAGAAGTCTGATGTATAAGCTAAAAGTGAACTCATTCTTCTCACGGACATCTTTATTTGCCCAAATTAACACCACTTATTCATAATACAGAGATATCAAGCATTTTAGAAGAAATTATTACAAAAGTACAATACCATCCCCCCCACGTCCCAAAAAAACCTAACTTCAAAACCTAAGACTTCAGTATGTTACATGGTTATAGAATGCTGACATCAGGATTGGATGGAAAATAAGCAAACCAGGAAGGACTGATGTATCCAAAAAAAGAAGCACGACTGGATGCCAGCCCAAATTCAAGCATTCTGCATTACAACACTTTATTACAGGACCACTTTGTTTAACTTAGTGAAGAACTGAACAACTTTCTATAAACTAGAGATTGGCTATTAAACAGATATCCGATTCCAGATGATGTTCAAGAGTCTGCTTATAATATTGCAGTTATTCATTGGTATTACATTATACCAATTACAGTGTCTTTCTCCATAATCTTTAAACACATAATTCTTGAATCTGAATACTTTAAATATTTTGACATTTAATGAACCTGTATCCTCTGCAGCTTTTAGTGCTACAGTAGTTTTTTTTTAAATTGTAAAGTATATTTTAACAGCTTCTTTATGGTATTCATTGCTATTAAATACCTTAAGCTGTTCAGTGGAAACTTGGGAGGAGTGGATTATAAGCATTTGCAAGGATTATAATTTTATTACTTATTTTGTAGAGGCCAATCCCTTCACCCATTCTTTACATATGGGGCCAAACTGCTCAGATTATATGAAACCATCAATTTGGGCAGTTGAATGGATGGATATAATGAAGATACCAACAATCAAGAAGTAACAATATGCCAATCAAGGAACTAGAAAGTCAGACAAACAGTGAATAATAGCCTAATCAAGGAACTAAGACCACTCACATCAATACTGGTAGTACATAAAAGAGAAAATCCTACTCCCTTTTAGAATTGATGATGTTACCTAGTTTGGTAATGAAACATTTGCAAGAAAACAACCAAGATCAAAGAACCCCAACAACCTCACAGTTCAATCCTGACCCACAAATGTTCTCTTCTATCAAAGACATCTTTAAAAAAGTTAAAATGTATTTCATGCAGCTCATGTATCCTGTTTACTCTTCTGAAAGAGTATTGTGACCTGACAATGTCACAATAAAAACTAAAGGGATTTTCTACTTTTAATGCAGATGACTAAAAGATTTGCTGATACATATCAAGTCCCTTATGGCCCTTGTAGAAAGGTTAATATAAAACAATATTCTAGTGTTTAATATTTCTTCTGCCCTGCCACCTATCCCCTCAAGTTCGAATTTTTTTCTTCAAGCTACGACTTTGTAAGACAAGAACTTTTCCATGTAAAATCAGCAAGTTTCCATCACTGGCTGCTTTCTTAAGCAAAGAGATTGCTTAAGAGTTATAGTGGTCGGTGTTATCAGCCATGCTATATACCATATTTTTCGGAGTATAAGACGAACCGGAGTATAAGATGCAGCTTAGTTTTTGGGGAAGAAAATAGGGGGGAAAAATCTGCCTACCAAGTATTCATCTGGGTAGCGTGCTTAATCTGGTCAGCTTCAGCACATTAGTTTGCTGATTTTTTATCCCCTGCTTGAGGATAAAAAACAGCTTCTAAGGCACAGCTGAGAGGAAGCAGCAATGAGAAAAGCAGGCAAAGCATGGGGAGATCGCTTCACTCGACTAGCACCTAGTTAGGGCTGAAAAAAAAAGCTTTGAAAAAGTTACATCCGGAGTATAAGACACACTCAAATTTTCAGCCTCTTTTGGGGGGGGGGGAGGTGCATCTTAGACTCCGAAAATTACGGTAATTTTAGTGTTTTCAGAGGTGGTATTCAGCCGGTTCAGGCAAACCGGTAGCAAAGATCACTGGTGGGCCTGCTATTTAGGCACGTTTTTGAGGCCGGGCGCATGTGCGGAAGGCGCACGTGCGAGCAAAGCGCATGTGCGGAAGGCCGGGTGCATGGTGTGAAACCCACCGCTGTGTTTGATGCTAGCTTTATGAGCACCACAAAAGACAGACAGCAGTTTTTCCACTAAACTAAGAATCCTAGTTTCTGTATCAGGAAACACACCTGTAAGAGCCTTAAAGAACTCAGTAGATTAGAATTATTAGCAATGCCACAACAGTATCTTAACAACGTTTAGAAATGAGAGGGCGTCCTATTTCTTTAACTCCATTCTCTTAACTCCAACCAATAATTACAATTCCATGAGAAGATAAAGAGAGAGAGAGAGAGTACATATGGTTGGATGTGAGGATTACCACAGCTTCTTCTTTCTCACTCCCACTGCCTCATGCACATTGTTAGGTTTTATAGCTACAAACATGTCCTTGGAATCTGTGGATAATACCAACAGGAATCTCTGATGATGCTGGATAGGAACTTAGTAATTTTTTCCAGTGCTCAGGACCGGAGTCATTTGCAATTTCCTTCTCTTTCTCAAAACTTGTAAAACCCAGAGCACTTTGTAAAGCAGTTAAAACAAATCACTTTTAGCAAATGCATGCGTAACTCTATTATGGTGCCTCCATGAGGGTCATTACCATTTTATAAAGGCTCTGGTTTTATATCAGCAAGGTACACCAAAAGACTAAAGGAATAAAATGTAGGTCCATAGAGAGCAGAGCTCCCAATGAGGCACAAATAAAGAGGACCACGCCAGCGAGCCTTTGCAACATGTGCCCAAAGAAGCAGCACCAAGTCGCTAGCTGGATCTGACGAGGGTAGGATTATGTCATCATGTCTATCCCACAGTCTCCAAAGAAGGGAAAAGCCCACTTTCTTCAGTTCCCCACTGGGATTTCAGAATTTTCACACAAGCTGCCAAGCATCAATTTGAGACCACAAGAGACAGGACAAAATGTTTTTAAATGGGAGTGAGAAAAATCTCAAGAGCAGCAGGATAGAGAGAAGCAGCTGGCAGCCCGTGGACATAGTCAGAGCCCCAGGAGGAATGCTGGGTGACCTCCCAGCTGCTAACCCGCTCTCCGCTTCTGGATGTAACTCTGCAACAGGGAAGAGAAGAGCAGGCCCAGGCACAAACCGTTCCCTTTTGGACTTCAGCAAGCTGTCAGTACAAGGCAAGATCTCTATCTGAAAACAGGGCCCCAGATTTGTCATTTGAACTTATCTTCCGTTAGCACCTACACATCCCGCTCTCCCAATGCAGATAACTACCCTTTCTTTGGCTTGCCAATGCTGCGCTTCAGAGTATGAGCCTAAATTGTCATCTTGGATGGCAGCCAATGCATTGGCAGCCAAGCTACTTCTTTCTGATATCGTAAGGAAGCTGGTCCATCAAGAGCTGAGCTGCAGAGAATGTAATACACAATGATAACTGCAAGGCTCATAGAACTGCACACTGAAAATCAGGAATGTGCTCTGGGTGTTTCTCTGTACTCATTCCATAATACTCCAAAACCAGGCATGAGAAGTCCTGCTGATCCTTCTTTTGCTGGTCTGGGCATGACAAGAGCCAACAAAAGTCATGTTGCTGTCTAGATGGCCAACTCCCTGAAGTTATGCCTTTTTCCCTGGAGCATAAAAATCCCCTCACCACCATCACCACCCCCTCAAGATTTGTGTGATTTCATCCTCTTATGACTAATGAGCGAGGCCTACAACAAGAAGCTTCAATCTCTTCACCCTTAAGGGGTTTTTTTTCTATTCAAAGTCCCAGTCACTCTGAACAGAAACATGACATGCTGCTCAGATCAGCTAAGAGGGGTGT